TAAACTTATATGCTTATAAACATATGACTTATAAACTTCAAAGGATTTATAAACTTCAAAGGAGGGATGCGGTGGCTCAGTGGCTAAGACAGTGAGCTTGTCGATCAGAAAGGTCAGCAGTTTGGCGGTTCGAATCCCTAGTGCCGCGTAATGGAGTGAGCTCCTGTTACTTGTCCCAGCTTCTGCCAACCTAGCAGTTCGAAAGCACATAAAAAATGCAAGTAGAAAAATAGGGACCACCTTTAGTGGAAAGGTAACAGTGTTCCGTGTGCCTTTGGCATTTAGTCATGCCAGCCACATGACCATGGAAACAGGGCTGGCTCTTCGGCTTTGAAACTGAGATGAGTACCACCCTCTAGAGTCGGGAACGACTAGCAGATACGTGCAAAGGGAACCTTTACCTTATAAACTTCAAAATTACATGCAAGAGCTGTGGATTCAGTCCCAACTCATTAACTTTATTGAGTACTGGTGGACCTATTACTATTTCTAGATGATCTTCTCTTGCAATTGAAGCAGGAATATTATGTACATAGCTTCAGGATTTCTGAAGAAAAGAGGGACCATTAAGGCAGAAAGCATCTTCAAAATTTTCTATAGCATTTTCAATCTTCTCTCCCATTGGCCCCGCACTATGGAACATTCTCCCCCGGGGAAATAAGGCTTCATTCTTCTGGCCTTCTTTAAAACAGAAAAACATGGCTCTGCACCCTTGCCTGGGGTACGCAGATGAACATGCAGCTTATGGTAACTCTTTTAGCATCCACTCAATACCATTCTTCATCTAAGTATTTTTTAGTAAAAAGATAAATTCTTCTGTAACCAGAAACTGACATGGCATTCTTATAGTATTTTGATTGAAAGTTGGTCCCCAACTCCCGGTCCGAGGACTGGCACCAGTCCACGGCATCCCAGCCCAATCGGCAGAATGAAGGCAGTATGCAGAACCACGCCCCCTCCGGTCCGTGGAAAAACCTTTCTCCATGGAACCGGTCCCTGGTCCCCAAAAGTTTGGGGGGCACTGTTCTTAGGGATGTAAAACGTCTGTTAACTCAAAACACATTTTGTGAAGCATGTCCATCCTAAAAATTAATAAATAAATAGAAACTAGAGCTTTATTATTTTTCCTTGCTTCCTTTTGCTTTACATTTTAACAATTGATATTTTACTGCAGGATTTTATTTTATCATGATACTTCATTGACTATAATTGGAACAAGTAGAGAAAAAAACAGCAGGTGTCTGTGGAGGAACAGGCAAGTTTTGAAGAAAGGAAGTATTTGAGATGGCAAAAAAAAAAAAAAAAATCATCAAAGCCAACAGAGAAAACATAGAAAAGGGTACAATACTACTGCAGAAACACATAAAAAGACAATATAGGCATTCCTTAGATATGGTGGGTTCGGTTGCAGACTATCGCAATAAAGCAAATATTACAATAAAGCAAGTCACATGAATTTTTTGGTTTCCCAGTGCATGTGAAAGTTAAGTTTACTCTACTGTAGTCTATTAAGTGTGCAATGGCCTTATGTCTAAAAAAAAAAATCATATATAGTTTAACTTAAAAAAAAATGCTAATCATCACCTAAGCCTTCAGCAAGTCATAACCTTTTTGCTGGTAAAGGGTCTTGCAAAGAAAAAAAAAGTTTGCAAAGCACAATAAAACAAGATATCCCTGTAGATCATATAACAAATGTGATACCTACAAACAAAAACTAGTTTTAACAAAAGTAGGTTTTTTTAACCTTTCAAATTATTAGAGTTGTAACCATTTCATTTGCTAATAGTCATATGCTGATGGATGAAAAGATAACGAAATGATTTGGCATTTCATACTACAGCACAACTGATCACCAAGGAATCATGTGTCCACTTTCAAAGATTCTCGATGTAGATGAAAAGCTTCTGTATGTCTCTCTTTTTTGAAAGAAGAATTATATCACCTTTCGCTTGAGAAAAATATAACAGCTGAGCCATAAATGACCCAAATGCCTCGAGATCTGTTGTAAATGCGTATAAATGAGAAATGGGAATCAGAAAAATGGGAATCAGGAGCCTGTAGTACAGTAGACTAAAGCACTATTATTAACATCTGCTGCTTGCAATTACTGCAAGTTCAAATCTCACCAGGCTCAAGGTTGACTCAGCCTTCCATCCTTTCAAAGGTAGGTAAATGAGGACCCAGATTGTAGAGGCAATAAGCTGACTTTGTATAAATATACAAAAGTATGAAGGCTATTGCTTAACGCATTGTAAGCTGCCCTGAGTCTCCGGAGAAGGGCGGCATATAAATTAAAGCAAAAAATAAAATAAAAATCAGCTGCAGCTATATATACCAAAACAGATTATAAAATCAAAACACACTACAAGTAGTCCTTGTTTAGCAACCACAATTTAGACAGCTACTCGGTTGCTAAGCAAAGCATTTACTGAGTAAAACAGAAACTCTGCTTATGATCTCACTTCGGCTTTCCTACAGTTTATAAACCTTCAAAATGTGGTCGTAAATGTGGACGATGGTGACAAACTTACTTTTTTCATCACTGCTATAATTGTAAATGGTTGCTAAACAAGGCAGTCGCTAAACGAGGGCACTGGTATATTCTTTGTGAATCACCTGGTCACCTCACATCTTCCTCCAAGACATCTATTTGGCCTCAGTTTACCTTGTGGACTCTTTAGCCTAAATACCACAAAAACCTTGAGCAAATACAATCATGTAAGGGATATTAACCCATATTAAACATGTTGTCTCAATTTAAAAACAAAAACAAACCACCATTAATAGTAACAAATCCTTTTGGTTAGCATGCATTTAATTACACATATTCTCATTTCAAACATCCGGAAAGCATTCCTGAGGCAAATTCCTGATCAATGACACTGCAAAGTTAATAGCACCGACCTAATCATATTAAAATATTGGACTTTCAAAGAGAATCTATGGGATCTGCATTTTATTATACTGCTAAAGAGTGCAGAAAGGTAGCATTACATACTAAATGTACGCTTTATGGGATTAAAATGTGAGGATCACAAACACAGTCGAACAGAGTGGGGTTGAAAATAAAATCCTGCATAAAAGCAGTGTTAGCAGAATGATCTGAACGCCCTGAGGTGAATATTAGACTATATAACTTTTCTCCTTTTTTAATCCTTCTGGGGTTTTTTTTTTTCCCAAGCCACTTTTTGACCCCAAAACTGCTATAATTGCAGCTCTTTAGAGGCGAAGTAAAGTAATACGTTGGCGATATGCTTCTTGGGTTGCTATGTTACGGTGATTATCCAATTAGCTACCTGCCTGTAGTGAATAATAATGGCAGCATTTAAACAAATCGATAAAATACATCCAATCAGTCCTTGGCAGGCCTTTTGGTGTATTTTAGAAACACACCAGCTAAGGATATAACCAGTCGAAAATATGCTTCTGCAGTTTCATAATGAACTTTTACACTGCAACTGCTGACACATAAAACAATCTTTTAAATGAGCCCATTTAATTGGTCTAGAAAGAGAACTCCAGTCTCCAAAAGGGTAGATGGCATAAAGTTAATATAATAAAATGTTAATGTTGCCTTTGCATCTTCCCTGAAGGCAACTTTAAGCCACAAAAGGCAACAGTTCACTGACAGCAGTCACATATATTCCACAAAGTTGCCAGATAGGGGTTTTTTAAAAAACATTTTTCTATCAAGAACCTTAGAACTAATTGTGCTTAACAGCTACATGGGTCAACCCTGACATCCTGAGCCCTGAAAGACCATTGAAGCTACTGCTAATGATAGAAAAATACATTATAAACTAAATAGCTTTGAGTTGCTATCTGGATTCCAAACTCTTCTTACTTGTGTCATTGATGTTTAGCTTGTTCTTCTCTTATCCCTGTACTGCAGGCTACTTCTGCTGCCTGCTGGCTGCCTGCAGTTCAGCAGTTCGATTCTCACCTGCTTAAGGTTGACTCAACCTTCCATCCAGTGGTGAAATCTGAACTGGTTTGCTGGCTGTGCATGCGCGCTGCAAGCCAAATGCACGCTGCGCACACATGCACAGTGTGCACCAAACACACACTGCATGCACGCACACACAGTATGCACCAAAAGGAGGCTTGGGAAGGTAAGTAGAACAGCGAGGGGAGGGAATCAGCTGTGCCGCGCCATTTAGCTTCGCTAGAAAGCAGGATTTCCTGCTTTCTAGCAAAACTAAACCCCGCAACACAGTTGATCGTCAGAAATACAGGTTCAGAGGAACCGGTAGCGGTTTTTTAACTACCGGTTCGACTGAACTGATAGTTTTTATCACTACAGGTTTGCCCGAACTGGAACGAACCGGTAGCATTTCACCCCTGCTTCCATCTTTCCGAGCTGGGTAAAATGAGGACCCAGATTGTTGGGGGCAATAGGCTGACTCTGTAAACCACTTAGAGAGGGCTGTAAAAGCATTATGAAGCGGTATATAAGTCTAAGTGCTATTGCTATAGCTTCAACTTCTGATACTTAAGGTACAAATGAAGAATTTAAAATGCAGTGTTGGAATTAAAGTTTGGCAGTGTAAAAACACAGACGAGAGAGTAAACCTATGTGGCCATAGTGATGGCTCCATGAGGACAACCAGAAGTTTCTGTTGAATTGAATGAAAGGTTGAACATTTGCATGAAAACCAGCAAAAGAAAGCTTAATTTCTTTTTGACATGAAAGTTGCTATGCTGAAATTGTATCAAATGAAGTTTGCCTGCTCCTAGTAGCCACATTTTTGTTTTATCACACCATCTTGATATTGCCCCATCCAAAACAAGGAGATGGACAAATGGAAAAATATTCAGCTGCAACGTTGTACTTTCCTTTCATTTTAAACTCAGCAAGAGAAATACAGAAAAACATCCAAATGTATTTAAGGCTGTTGAAACCCAGTGAAAATGGAAATCTTTTGCTTCTAATGAAGGCATTTTTTTTTAAAAAAAACCTTTTATTTTTAGTAAAAAAATAAAAATAATGTTTTACTTACTTGGAAATCTTTTTCCTCAAGGATTTCCTTTTTCCATCTGACAAGGAAGGCAGCACAGACATATAGGTGGAAGTGGGAAAAACCTTCTGGTTCAGACTGTTAAAATAAAGCATATATATAGTCAACATAAAAATACATTTGAGTAGATAACTCAATACTGATCAGAAAGTCTTTTTGTTGCTTTCCTCATTTTTAAAATGTAATTGTCACAATTAATTAGTGAATCAGATTCCAAATAAAAGCCTTTTCATTTGTGTAGAGAAAATAGGAATAAACAAAACAATAGTACCCAAGAATGACTAGCTAATGCAAGTATATAAAAAGCATAATATCTGCCAATAAGCTTTGTTGTTGAGCATCAAGGAAACCACCTGGCTTCAACTTTAGGGAATAAAACTGCTGTGATTATGCTTCATGGGCAGGTTTTGCTAGAGGAGAGTCAATAGCCTTCACTAGTTCTTCCTTAGCTTTGATGACTTCTGAAACAATGCATCGTTCTATACTATCTGTCCTATTTTGCACTGCATTTTGGCTGCATTCTTTCCTGGTAAGAAAAACTACAGAATGTAGAATGTAGTTTTGGGAGGAAATATTCCAGAGGGTTGGGTGTTAATCCCCAACCTATCAACATGAGCTTGCTGGGAAAGATCATTAAAATTTCTAGAATTGGGAGTGATCATATTTACCAGAGTGAAAATATTTACAGACCCCTCACATCCTGGACATAAATTGTTTCAACTCCTACCTTCAAAACGATGCTATAGAGAACTGCACACCAAAAAACAGGAATAGTTTTTTCCCAAACGCCATCACTCTGCTACACAAATAATTCCCTCAACACTGTCAAACTATTCACTAAGTCTGCATTACTATTAATCTTCTCATCGTTCCTATCACCCATCTCCTCCCACTTATGACTGTATGACTGTAACTTGTTGCTGCATCCTTACGATTTATATTGATTGTTTCCTAGTATGATTCGATCGCTTATTTGTATCCTATGACTATCATTAAGTGTTGTACCTTATGATTCTTAACAAATGTATCTTTTCTTTTTATGTACACTGAGAGCATATGCACCAAAGACAAATTCCTTGTGTGTCCAATCACATTTGGCCAATAAAGAATTCTATCTATCTATCTATCTATCTATCTATCTATCTATCTATCTATCTATCTATCTATCTATCTAAATGACAATACGTTCATAATCAAGTTATGTCCAGGAAATTATATATCGGAAGGATGTACTCTTCTACAGTAAAAAAGTCCATGTCTTATCCAAAACTCACATCTCATAAAACAACTCAAAATGAAAAAAAAAAAATCCAAATGTTTAATCAGAATCACTACTATTGTTGCAGAAAGAAGATGGGGAATACGAAAAAAAAGAAAAAAAGATTGCTCTAGGAATCTGCCTTTTTGCAAGAACGTTAACTATCTTAGACTTTTCTGTAAGAAGCAGTAAGTCTTAGTTTCAGCCAAAGAGACCTGAGGCTGTCTGGGTCTAAAATTAATTCCTTCTTAAACCTAACCATTGTCTGAGTTTGACAGTTCATACAACACACTTCCTATCCCAATGCCTGACCCAGTTATAACATGCCATCTGTAGATGACCCAATTCAAATGGAGCCCAGCACCTCTCTGGAGTATAAGGCAAAGACTTTGGGAAGAATTAGGCCATAGCTAAAGGGATTGGATGAAAACAGACAATAAACTATCCAAACCATACAGAAACAGAGCTTTTAACTACTGTTACACCCAACAAAACTGACAGGAGATTCAGGGCAAAAGAAAAACATAATTTTCAGAATTTCAAGGTGACTGTGTAAAATGGCTTAAAATGGATTTTTGATCTGATCTAGTATATCCTTTATGTTCCTGGCAGCAGAAAAAAAGAAACCATGCTTTTCAGTCTTAATCCAACACCATCTGGCAAAAGTCAAAGAAACTGAGCAAAACTTCAGGAGAAACTTTGAATAATCCTTTATGCAAAGGCCTAGATACCATTCTCTATACAAGCTGTAACAAACGTTTTTTTTTTTCCTCCAAGAAAGGGAAATGAAATAGCAAACTGTGCCAAAGATTTAAATTTATTCTTGATATTTTCTGTTTTCACATTGTTTTTCAGTACCGTTTGCCTAGGCTCTTTTAAATTAAATCAAATAGGCTTAAGCATTCAGTTCATTAAAGGAAAATGCATATTCCCTTTAGATCTGAGAATTCATCATAGTTCAGAGATAAAACTAAGGTATAAAGCATTTCAAATGGATAGTCTTGGACAGTTTTGGAAATTGAGCAAAGCACCTAATGCATAATTGCCTTTCCTAACACCTGCTACCTATTATAACTTTCCATTTGCAGCCCTTGAAGTTACAAGCAGATTCATCTTTAAATGTATAAAATGGCAGGCCAATAGCTAAAAGCTGCTTAGAAATCAAATATAAACAATGACCTTGATTTAAATATTTTAGCAAAAGATCTTAAAAACAGATGTACAGCCTTCCAGAAGACTTATTCTGAACATATTAGGCGTGACTCTGAGTGCATCACCACAGAACCATCTGTCATCATCAATAAAAATCATTTAGACGGTTAACACCACAAATATCACATTGCCTTGCAAAAAGTTTATCGCTCCCCTGGATGAAATCGAACCCATTATTTCAGACTTTGCCCTCAAAAATCTCATGAATTAGTCATGAACCTAACTTGAGAGACAGAAGGAAGTATAGCAGAACATATTATGTTATTGCAATGCATCCCACCACTTCAAAAGGAAATGTCATTATGAGGCTTAATGTTATATTGGTTCATAATTGAAATGAAACCTACCGTTAGACCAAGAAATTTGCAGGCTAGTTTAAAGGGTCAATTCCCAATTGCAGTAAAACATACATACCGATTTTTCCCTTTTCTAAAAAATAAAATTTCAGATCCCAATACAAACACCTTAACAACAAATATTATTCTGATTCCTTTGTAGAATTCTTTATGCATTGTGCTACCGAAGTCTAACTACACCTCTTGGAATAATAGGACTAGTTGTTTAAGTAGCTAGAAGTAGTTCTAAGGGTAGTTGTTTGAAGACTACCTGGAGACAGGGTTGTTTTGAAATTAGTTTAGGGGAGTGGGTTACAAAAAAAATGGTGCAAAGGAAATGGGTCTTAGGTGGAAAGTACCAAATGGCTTCCGTTTGTCATGGGCTATCAAATTCTACCCATGCACTCATTCCAGTCATATCTCAGACCTTTGCTGGTATGTTGACTTCTTACTGTGCAGTTATGTCACCTGGAGAAAAAAAAAATATCAGAACTGCTGTTGAAATAGTCCTCTTGTGCTTAGGAGCTACAAAAAAGTGAATAGTAAGCACAAGGAGTCCTCTCTACCATATTTTAAACCAGCCACCCATTTCCTAAACATCTAAAGTGTCAGGCCTGGAAGGCATCTTTTTCGTTGGATCTTCAGGTCTGCCACATTTAATACCGTGGGTAACTGAGAGAGGGGATTGTATGGAGCATGGATTCAATAGTTCTGCTATGCAAGTATGGTCACACAGCTGGACCAGCAACCAGTAAATTTGATTGAAGGCTTCCCTTCCACCTGACTTTCATAATATAAACTCATGATTGACAAAATAAACAAATGAACGAATGAATTTATTTTGGAGGAAGGTTTTATACAATACACAGTTAATATATTTTTGATATTCCCCATTTTCATTCAGAAAGCTGTGCAGAAGGAAATGGTGGACAACAGAACTGTTTTCCCCTATAATAGAACTATTATAGGAACAATGAGAAATTAGTAAGGGATAATCCCACTCCCTCTGCAAATTTAGCTATGATCTTCCCTGTTTAATACCAGGTGCAATTCTGCCATATATACAGACCAATTATAAGTACAATGCATAAAGCAATTGATAGTAAATAAGAACTGATAGGGGACTTGGGAATACCAAATATTGACCAACAAAGCTGTTAGATTGAATAATTTTTCTTTTACATAAATTTTGAGAACTGCAATTGCAGTCTGGACAGACTTAAAATAGCTGAATGTTCCTGTTAGGAGCCACCCACCTTACCTTCTGTAATCTGATTATTTTCCATTATGTTGGAATAGAAATCCCAACATTCTGAGCCAAAAATCTGTTTGAATTTAATTCAAATCAAGTAGTCTAGAAATCCTGAGATGATTTTGATTCTAGACGAATGGATACAATCACCATTTGACTGCATCTTGCAATCTCCGTAAGCCAGGGGTGTCAAACTGGTGGCCCGCAGGCCAGATGTATCACACATAGGCCACGCCCACTCCAGCTCCGCAAAGGAGAAAAACATCGTTCACATGACGGCAACGTGACGCCACGAGTTTGACACCCATACCATAAACTAAAAGGTTCTCTGAAATGGATCAGCTGCAGACCAATTTAGGAATTACAAGAATTTATCAGCTGCAAAACCTTTGGTCAGCCTGTGGGTATATTTTCTCAGGATTAACATTCTGGGTTTATATGTTCTTTAGAGCCAAGACAAAATGAAACACTGATAGTACCTTCATACCCCATCTGATCCTAATGACATACATTCCAACCATGAGATTCATATATCCAACTCTTTTCCACCTAGGTCAGATCTGCAGATCATAAGAAACAGAAGCTGAAACAGGGGAAAGAGAGAGAGAGGTATTCTGTCAGGAATTAGTATTTTGACAAGCAGCTCCTGTTAAGAGTAGGTTTCAGTTCCAGGCACGAGCTTCTCTTTGCAGAGCAAATTGGGCTGGATGGGAGGTCCAACTGTTCTTAGTGATCAGTCAGCAAGCCTAGAAGACATAACTCTAAACCAGGTTTCAGCGGAGTGGTTCCTATAGGATGCAGAATTGCTAACTGACCCCTGCAAAATTAAATAATTACACACAATCCGAAGGAGTAATCAGAATATTTGGCAGCATACATATTAAATTAAAATAGTTTTTTTTTTTGTTCTTAGTTGTGAAGTCGTGTCCGACCCATCGCGACCCCCATGGACAATGTTCCTCCAGGCCTTCCTGTCCTCCACCATCCTCTGGAGTCCATTTAAGCTGACGCCTACTGCTTC